CACTGCACACACCAACGACGTTTTGGCACCCTGCCCCAAATCCATCACTAAGTTTTGTGGCTCTGTGCAAGGAATATGAGCAAGAGCAATATACAAACCAAGTTGTGAAATCACACAGATGTCCAAGTAGTCATGTACAAGCAGAGAGCGCAAATGCACCGAGATTCCATCCAGATAAGATATACACATCTAATGGATGGTTACTCGGTTCCATTGCGCTATCTGCTCTTGCTTTGACTACTTGGACTTCAGTGTGATTTTGCAATCTGGATTTCTGTGCTTTGTTCACATTCATGTTCCTTGCGATCTGTTATCAGTGAGGCATTTTACGGACAACGCTATGAGTGAGATCTAGGCAAAGTAGGATAAAGGTTCGATTTTCAGCAAAAGAATAAATTCAGTTTCCGAGAATATGACAACCTCCTATTTAGCAAAGAAATGCTGATAGGCTTCGCAAAATTTTGGCTTTCCGAGACCAACTTTTTGCGAAGTAGAATGGAGATTCGATTTTCAGAAAAGAATAAACTTTGTTTCCCCGAATATGACAACCACCGTCGTAACCCTAATATGCCTAGAAAACGAGATGCTCACGTCAGAAATTTTCGGATACTAATATCAGAAAAAAAAAATGCTACTATCAGAAATTTTCGGATATTTGTTGCGTGAAAACAAAATGCAAATATCAGAAATTTCAGATAAAACGAAATACTAATATACGAAGTTGTGAAAAAAAGAAGAAAAAGAAAAAAAAGATTTGCAGAGATTTTGACGAAACCCGACTTGATTTACTAATCACTCAATCATCAATCCGTAGATCAAGCAAGCTGCCGACTTGATTGGGCGGATCTTGATGAAAAAGGTCCGCTCCGATACCAAACTGTTGCATACCCTAACGGTACAGATCAGACCAAGAACCGACCTTTCTCACATGATACCAGATAGCACAATGGAAGGCTTAAATACCGATGATCTGATCAATTAAGCTGCCATGCAGACCAAACATGCATCGTCATCATTCCATGGTGTGAAGGGGGCTGATGCTCACACAGGAAGAATGTGTCAGTCCCCGATCATA